GCACATGTGAGACTATAGACACCTTAGTTCATTTTGAGGGTCTTTCAAATATCCCCCACTTTGGAACATTCATCCTCGAATGATTCTTGGGACTTTTTGAAGCACTTTCGAGGACTCAATGAACCATAGAGAATCTAAAAACATTCAACACATTACCACATAATGGTCAATGCCCCAAACTTACAAGGAACACCAGCTTCATACTATCATGGAACTAAAGCAACATAGTCAAACATGGATTACTCTTAGATTTTCTTTCCACGCTTACATACTTCTTCATACTCATTGCCATTTGGAGGAACTACCTTCTCCAACTTTAGGCATGTTCATTATCTCATCATAAAGTTAGACATACAATGGATTTCACTTGCACACACAGGCATAATCCACACTTCAACTCATGAGAAATGAAGCAATTCACTTAGTTGCACAAAAATCGTGAATCATGTAGTTCAACTACAATCTTATATTCTAGACATAATACTATGAAGGTCACACATAACATTACCATGTTTCACTTTTGTTCAAGGAGGAACTACCTTCTCCTATTCACAACATACACACATGGCATCATAAAGTTCACATAAAAGCAATGCACAAGGTTCAATTCATTTTAAGGAGGATTTCTTTACTCCAAACAACATTATGCTCATTCTCTCTTTCTTATGAAGTCAAAATGAAAAATAACATCAAAATAATCGAAAGTTTTTTCATACAACTTCACATTCTAGCATGACACTAGCTTTCATAAACATACATCATTTAGGAAAATTATTAAAATTCAAAGGCACACATTGATGAGTTCGGGGTAGACATATTATCACATCTCAAGAGTGAGGCTACAACAACATTTCCTAAGTTATAAAAGTAACACATTTTTAAAGGGCTCATCATTTCTTATTTAAAGAAAACTCAGCACCTCATTATTGGGTCAAAACACCCTCATATCAAAAGTGTTATCAAGCATGTTCATCTAGCCATCTCATGAAGTTAAATACACATTTACAATATCAAGGGGTACAACAACATGAGAAACCTGAAATTTGATCAAAATTCCTTTTTCATGAAA